GAATACTATTCCATTTTAAAACGATCAAGTTAAAACCCTTATAATTTGAACTCATCAATCGGAACTACAATTCAGATTGGACCGAATAATAATCAACCGGAGATTGTAACCATTCTTGATACGAATACTACCTGACCTGAGATTTCATTTAGGTCCATTGTAATTTATGAATAAAAATGGGTCTGTATCATAAAATATTGGAAGCCGTAACCGCCATTACGTCCCAGTTTATTATCGATTAAACTATTGTGAATTTATTCTGTCTATAAAGAATACAATTTCTGATGTTCGTCATGCGAATTTTATATTGCTGCTATAATTTGGCACATACATGTATATATGCGAAAACACCTGAGTCTGAGAGATATGCCCCCATTAAATATTCAGGGGTAGGTCAACAAAATAGTCTTCAAAATTTTGGCAAAATCAACTATTTTGTCGCTTTTTGTTAAAATCCGCTAATTTCTTGCCAAAATAAACAGCGACATACACAAATATTTTCAACAAACAAAAATTTTGGGGTTATGTAACAAATTTCTTTTCTAGTTTCCAATATTCCACTTGTTATTGCATTGCCTTTACAGCACATTCTTTAGGACATTTCAACACATTGATATTATTTTCTAAAAATTTGCAATCTTTTTTCCATTTTTTCCAATTACGTATCTGGAATCATCGAAAGATTATATAAACATTTATGAGCTGCTCGCCAGAGACGTGTGACAGCTTACCAATACACTCACATGAAACACACACCATATATAGATTTTTCGTTAGTAAATATTAATTTACATTCGTTTATTACTCTTCATTAATCACAAACATTTGTTTTGTTTAAACATTTAATTAAATAAACCAACATTTAATCTATTCCTCATCATAGTTGGGAGCTGGAGACTTAACTTTGCTGTAATCTCTGATGGGCGAATAGAATTTGTATTGCTTTTCTTTGTATTCTTCCCATGGTTCAGGATTGGCCGAACGATTCCATGTAACATCGGGATTTCTGGTGGCCAAACGGAGAGTGTACAAGGCAGAAGCCAAGGCACCAGCACCGACACACACATAAAGTGGGATAAGGGCTGGATTTTTCTTGATCGATTTCAAACTGAGACCTTGCATGATTATGCTCTGTGACGACAGCAGACTTGGTTGACTCGAGAATAATACTAAAAATTATGGAAAAATTGGAGATGAGCAAAAATGACAGAGCAGGGTTGTATTTTTCTCTGATTGGCATGTTGTGTGGGGTTAATCGATAGCGACTATCGATAATGGTTTTGTTTTTCCAGGCAGAGAATTGTTGTGGACGGCGGCGTGTAACAAACACAATCAAAAGTGGCTGGAGAAAGCGTTTAAACTACTATTAAAGGTCGTTTACATTTAACCGGATTTGGTTAACCCAGTGGGTTTAAATTTTCAATTCCTTTGAATATATGCCAAATAAATCCTCATAAAGTAGGTTAACCCGGTAAAAAGTTCTAATGTAAATGCCGTATTACGATTACTATCTATTTTGTAACTAATTAATATTAAATAATAGTAAAAAATAAAATTTTTAATATTAATAAAATGTATAAATTAATAAAAAGTCAACCAAATAAAATTTTCTGTCTGCAATAATTGGTCTGTTCCCGTACTGCAAGAATCTACTATTTTTTACTACAATAACATTTTTGGTATGTTCCCGTACATCAAGAATCTAATCGATTTTACTATTTTCTTCGATATCACAAAGAAAAATTCGTTATCGTGGTAAAAAGTAATAGATTCTTGCATTACGGGAACAGACCATTTGTTACTTTATGATATCGAAAAAATAGTAAAAACTTGTAGATTCTTGCAGTACGGGAACAGACCAATTGTAAAACTTTTTACAACGATAACAATTGGTCTGTTCCCGTACTGCAAGAATCTACTCAATTTTACTATTTTCTTCGATATCATAAAGGAAAAAAGTGTTATCGGAGTAAAAAATAGTATATTCTTGTAGTACGGGAACATACCAAATTTTTCCTTTAGACCAATTATGTGGTCTGTTCCCTTGCAGTACTAATATTTGTAATTTTTTTCGATATCATAAAGGAAATTATAAATTTGTAGATTCTTACAGCACGGGAATATCCAAAAATATCGAATGATAAGACTAAATGATTTCAGCCTATTCTATTTGAAAAAAATTCTTCCTCTCCGACTGAGGAACTTTTTCCTATAGGGGTAAAAGTCTTCCACTTTCTAATTCCGATTCCCACACTTAGAAATCGTGTCAATTTAATCATGTCCGTATGTTTGCCTATTGATTGGTACTTCAACGAGTCTACGCTTTATTGGAGACGGTATTTTGAAGCGTTTGAAATTCTGGGTTCTTGGAGGTTAAAAATTTCCTTACAGAACATTTTTAATACAAATTTTGACATAGCCCCCGTACAGGGGTACCGTCCAATTTTCGGTTCATGGAGGATTTAGCCACATTTTCCATCGTTTTAATTTGTTGTTCCGAGTTTTCGTATGAGTAAACTGATCGCTAATTCATATTTTGGCGTAGTCGCTATATATAAGGTCCCTCCAGATAATAGCCTTTTTTATGATCCTAATCGCAATTTCCATCCAAAGATGCTGCAATAAATCCACTGGGCAAAAAAATTATCGACAAAACATTTTAAGTATATCATTTGTCATAGTCCCCTTATAATTGTACCACCGCAATTTAGGGTATTTTTCGATCTAGACTTGTTGGCGCAAATGTTTAATATAGTTTTGAAAGGCGCCCAAATAAACGTCCGTTTTCGGTATGTGAAAGTAATAAAATATCGTATTGGCAGATAATAAACAGTGTAGGTCCATGATTTAAGATATATTCCGACCTTTATTTTTAATGTCCGGTAATATACCAAATGAAATGAATCGGTTGTGATCGGATATTTTGTAAAGCAAGGGACTTATATTGATCACTGATCAGTATTTGGATCAATGTAGGAGAGAGAAAATTGCTTTCATTGTACCTGCAAGATCTACATGATCTTCTGCTGGATTCGCTTTATGTCGACCTTGACCTGAAGTTGTTTTTGATGAATACAGGGCTTAATATTAATGTTATAAAGTTCTGATTTAAATTACTTCGTTACTAGGAATATCATTTTTATATAGCTCTTCATTCAGGTTTTTATACCGCCTTACTGCGGGGCGTAATGTAATGTACTATTTAAAAATCTACTTTTTTTTTAATTTTTGATTTGTTTTTACGGCTTTTTATATCATAAATGAACATTAGTTATCGTAGTAAAAATTGGAAAATTCTTACATTTCGGGAACAAACCATTTGTGTCATTTTATTTACTCTATAAAATTTAAAGAATTTTCCAGCTGTTGTGACGATATTCTGTCTTTATTTTGCATACATTTATTATTGTATTAATTTTTTTCTTTGTTTTTTTTTTAGGTTAACTTTAAAATAATACTCTGGATGACGTTAAAACTCATTTATTTTCAAATAATACCAATTTCTGCACTCCAAACCCTTCAAATCACTCAAAAGTAAAGTAAGTAAGTAAATTTTTTTATTGAGTCTTCTTCTTATTTCGATAACATGGTTAATGTAAAGTAAAATGATGACATGATAATTTAGAACTATATTTGTCTTATTCTAATCCAATAATTAAATGCATTGATGCTACATGCTTAAAATGAATATACGGAAATGCGTACGTGCAAAATGAATGAAGAGCAAGGCTTGCTCACGGCCTTAACATTTTTTAACAGAGCGTGTGTGTCTGTAGATAATAAATTACTTAAAAATACATAACAATTAAAAAGAGATAACAAGAGACTGTTAATATCTTTATCAAACAGCGAGTATGTTAGATGAACATATGGTAAAAAAAAGTATGTATGTGTAAATATCACAGATGGTGTTTAGAAAATATATGTCAAAACAAAACACATAAATTAAAACGAAAGAGCATAACTCAAAAATTGAATTTATAAATATAATTTTATAAATATAAATATATATGTTTATAATGTTTAGCCTCTGTGGGCTCTTTGTGTTCTTTGTGTTGGCTTATAAAAATCAGGTACATTACAATTGGATCAATGTCGAGGCTTTCGTTGATAATGCCAATGGCAGATAAATATGTTGAATTTGACCAAGATACGTGTTTTTCCGTTTCATATATAGAGTTGATAATAGGATTTTCGTGTGACTCTAGCCCATCTACAAACTTCTTTAAGAGATAGAATGCGTGTTGGCAGAAAGGTTGGACTCCAGCTTTACCATAAATGTGAGTGTTTGAAAACTTCTTTGTCGGGTTTTCGTAATGTTGATTTATACATTTACGAAGGATATAACGTTCAAATATCTCCACTTCTTTGGCCACAAAATCACTCAAAAATGTTAACAATTCATTCCTACTTATCATATCGATAATGCTTTATTATCGATTTCCCCGTTTAATCATTCTTGGGGCTATCACTCCCCCCGTGAATGTCATTGAATAACAACAAGAAGCATTTCTCACACACAGAGAGTGAGTGGCTCATTCGTAAATAGACAACACACGATTTCGAACGGTTGGAAATTCTGTGACGGACGGTTGCGCGAACAGAAATACTTTGCTTTAGGAATCGATCGAATGCTTGTGTTTTTTTCCATAGATTTATTTACGTATAAAGCGAGAAATAAATAATACCTTAAACGTGATTAATTAAATAACAATACGGTGGATAACACAGAGTAAACAAAATTGTCAAACTTAATTTTGTGTGTGAAGTTCTTCTAAAAGAGAATGAGCTATAAAATCAAAACGCGGTTTGTTTTGTGTTGAAGAGAGTGTTTTGTTCAAAACAAAATAAAGCAATACGGAATTTGCTCAAATACATATGAAGTAAATTAAAAGCAATTTAAAGTATAAATAAATTTAAAAATTATTAAAGCAATTAAGTAAAGTGCAAACTAACAAAACAGAAATGCCGCAACAGCCATTATAATATTCAGCCATTGAAGAAGACAAATAACCAAGAATGTCTGGACAAAACAAAATCAACAAAAGTCAGTCACATTTCAAATGAGAAGACTAGAAAGAGAGAGCGTGAACGTGAACAACAACAACGACGAGTGTTAAGAGATTTCTTGTTGTGCCTGTGCATGAATTGTTGATTTTTTAATTGTGAAAAATAATAAAAAAATTGTGTGTTTTTAATAAAAATTAAATAAATTTAAAGGAGTTAAATTTTGTGTGAGTGTGTGCGCGTGAAATTTAATGAATATTTATTAGAAAAAAGGTATTGTTTTTGTTTTTTTTTGTTTTTCTTATTGTATAGTTGGGGCAATGTGTTTTTGTCTGGTGTCTGCTCTCTGTGTTTTGTTTTGATTTTGTCTATCTCTGTCTGGCTGCCATGCATTCTCAGTCGTTTGTTGTTGCATTACTTTTTGTTTATTTTTATCTTGACATTTGTTTTTATTTTGTCTGTGCCTTTTAGTTGGTATTTTCGTCGGTCTTGTTTTTCTTTTCTTTCCATTCTTGTGTGTTATTGATATTTTCCTTTTTTGTTGTTTTTTTTTATTTTGTAAGAAATTTTTGTTTTTTGCTGTTTTTGTATTCTGGGAAATCACTTGTCGTGAAAATGTTGCTCCCAAATCCGCTTAGGGACTTTTGTTGTTGTTGTTGGCATTAAAATGGGAATAAGATTTGTTCTTATGGGGTTATCATGAATTTAAATGGAATCCCCGAGTATTGTTATTTGGGTTCTCCCCTTGTATTCCCCCTTTTATGCTGCCCTGCAGCTTTAATGCTTATTATTGGGGGTTTCAATTTGTCCTGATTTTTCTTAGCCATGAGACGTCCTAGGTGGCTGGCTGACTGCCTGGTTCTGCCTGGTTGTTGTTATTACTGTTGTAATATTCTTCTTCAGAGTTCATGTCACAGTCACAGGTTGGCTGGCGGACTTTTCCTCCTCCTCCTCCCAACCTAGCAAACAAACAATCAGCCAATCAGCCGACCAGCCAGCCAGTCATTCATCTATCCCAAGCAACCCCCTCAGAAAATAATCATCCACTAAATAGTCTAAACAGCCATCCATCCAACCTGCCAGTCAGCCAGTCACTCAGTCAGCTGTTCCGTAACTCTCTGGGCCCCATAACTACCACGATGACTATTACGTTAATGT